AGCCAATATGTCCGCCTGCTCAGTTCCCAACACACCTGTGTGCCCTGGTGAAAAAAATCCAGACAATACTCCTCACCCGTGTCCTCCGCAGCTAGGCTTGCCACTTTGCACGAAGCATGCTTTCTGAGTCAGTTACAATCACGATGTTTGTGTGTGTGTCGTGTTCTCTAGCCAGCGGAATGCTGCAGTGACCCCCCCCCCCCCCCTCCATTCTTAAGCTGGATGTTGTGGTATCATATGCCAGGCTCTCCTGCACCAAACTTAGCCATAAACTTTTGCTAAGAAACCCCAAGCACTTATTTTGCCTCTTGACACTGAACCGTCTGTGTAAATGATCAAATCTTCTGAGCGAGCATTATCTTGAATTAATTGCTGAATTTCCACCTCTGTGGCACCTGCTGGCCAGTCTCTGCATTTCCGGCTCAGTGTGATTATGACCCTACACAAGTCTGACTGTTTAGGTGGCACTTTGACCCACTCCTCTCCTCGTCTAATGTTCTCAAGGATGCAAACCTGTCTGATTGTGTCTTCTGCCTGAGCCATCCAAAACTTCCCTCTTATTAGCTGGTGACCCTTAACTGTACCCAGAGCTTCGTGCAAAGGGTGGTCTATGTATGTAGCTACCATGAGAAATGACTTCGCCTGCAGCACCTTGTGCCTACCTGCAACCGTCGGCAAACCAAGGATGTATCGCATACACACCACTGGGGTGTCTCAAGTGCAACCCAGAATGACCAGCTGCATTCTGTATGCACTCTAGTTTGTCCGTCCGCTTCTTTGAGACAGTAAGCATTCCCAGGCCATAATCAATCACTGACAGGATCAGGTGCTGATATAGTGTAAACAGCATTCTCTGATCTATGTTAACTGCAGCCATAGTCTTAAGTGCAATAAGTCCTTTTTGGCATCTCGTCACAACACTCTCCACATGGTCCTTAAAGGACAGGCTCCTGTCAAATGTAATTCCCAGACACTTCAGTTTGCTCTCTCTGTTGATGTTTCTATCATCTATCGTGAGACTTGGGACATTAGCTTTAACGATCCTGTTGTCCAGAGAACACCACAAAACAGACGTCTTTTCCGGGTGGACGACAGCCCTTATTTCTGTACACCACTCAGTCACTTTGTCTACTGTCGCTTGTAGCTCCCGGGCTGTTTGTTCCCTCTGCCTATATGCAAAAGTCAGTATCCTTCCAACTCCTGCAATCTTGCTCGTATACACATTAAAAAGTACAGGCAAAATTCTTGTGACAGTCCTGGGGCCAAACTGCATGGTTCTGAGGTCCATGAGCCAAGTCGAAGAGAAATCCAACGTGAATACAGGACAGCTGCAATCCAATTCGCCAGCCATGGACTGACCTTCTCCTCCAGTGCATCCTCGAGATCCAGTGCTACCGCAAAACACAAACGATTTAACAAACAAACTTCATTTTCACAGGGTCATAAATTGGGCACACAGGCCCGTCTTACATTTGGCCTTCCAAACACCTATCTCTCACATAGCAGTTGTATTTTATCGATAAAGCATGTTATGCTCATAAAATAATATGCATATTATAAATATAAAGAAAAAAACAAAAGCATAGGTAGTAAAATACATGCTCACACTCACACACATGCACTCACACACAATGTGCAACCCCTTACTCACACATAATACAAACTCACACACATACACACACACATATGCATTCCTATGTACAGACACACTCACTTACACAGGCAGACATTAACATACACACACACACACACATGTGGACACATACACACTCATGCAGAATACACGCAGACACACACTCAAAGACAGACAGACAAACAAACACATGCACAAGACACACACACATACACACCTACATGCAGCCCTAACAGAAACATTATAAACAGGATATTCGTACCAACACTGTGCTACCAGTGTCAGACTTGGACAGTACAAAAGGCTAACCTAGGTTGAAATTAACAGCTGTGAAATGAGATGCCTTAGAAAAGTTGCCAACTTAACCATTTGAGACAAACCTAGAAATGACATTATTAGGCAGACTGTAGAACAACATCATGCAGCAAATTCATTCAGAAACAAGATGAAATGGTTTGGTCATCTAGTGAGGATGCAACCAGAACAACTACCAAAGCAGGTGTTACACAAGAAAAGATTTGATGTGAAAGCAAGAGGTCACCCTAGGAAAATATGGACTGATGCTTCTAAATCAACAGGGAATGTCAATAGCCACTGCTGCCTATCAAGCAATTGATCTCAGACTGTTCCTCCCCATAATGCAGAAGTGGAAATGGATGATAAAGATGATTATTATACATCGGTCACTAATGTGCAGCTTTGAGAAGGAATTAAACTGCAGTGAATCAACAGGGGAAGAAAACATACCGGGAATGAAAAGGAAAACACTGAGAATACCTGAGAACAATCTATAGTGGTCATAAAAGACAATCTGGAAAACAACTGATGGCAGCAGGTATAGTTTCTAAAGGAAAAACAAAGAATACAAACAAGCGGATGATCAATATTAGTTAGTTAGTTAGTTAGTTAGTTAGTTAGTTAGTTAGTCTTTCCTCTTGTGTCGAGTGCGGCACATAGGGCAGAGGTCGTGACTCTCCATGCACGGCGGTCCGTTGCAATCCGTTGTAGGTCTTGGATGTTTGAGTGGCCCATGAGCGAGCCTTCCCTGATGATAGTTCTACGTAGGGTTTCCCTTGGTCTTCCACGAGATCTTTTCCCCTGTGGTGTCCAAATGAGGGCTTGGTAAGGAAGTCTTGATTTATCCATTCTAAGGACGTGGCCGACATAGTTCCAGCGGCGTTTTCGTATAAAATTAGGACACATACTCTTGCCTGGATTCTTGCCTTATTTGTGTATTGGTTCGGAAATCTGACCATTTGAAATTTAGTATTCTTCTAAGGCATTTATTTTCAAAACTGTCTAATTTTGTGTCTAGAGTTTTCGTTGATTTCCAACTCTCGCATCCATAGGTTAGTACTGGAATCACACAAGAATTGAAGATCTTGAGTTTTGTGTGTTTGCTAAGTGTCTTTGATTTCCAGATGTTAGACAGTTTTATTGAAGGCACTAGATGCCAGTGCTATTCTAAATGATATTTCTGGTGCGGTATCTCCTGTAGATGACATCTTGCTCCCTAGATAAGTGAAACTGTTGACTTTTTCAAGGCTGTTGTTGTTCAGCGTGATATCAACTGAACTGTTGGTAAGGTCTAGAATTTTTGTTTTTGCGGTGTTTAATTTGGAGTCCAATTTGTTCTGAGAAATTCTGGAGTCGATTGATTTTTTCTTGGGCGTCTGTGTGTTCTGAACTCAGGAGTGCTATGTCGTCAGCGAAGTCTAGGTCTTCCAGAATTTTGTCAACCCATGTAATGCCTAAATTTGCGTTATTTATGCACTTGCGCATGACCCAGTCGATTGCTATACCAAAAAGCATCGGCGATAGGACACAGCCTTGCTTCACTCCTGTTTCCACCGGGAACCAGTCAGAATTGCCGGAATCAGTTCTTACACAGCATCGTGTTTCATTATAAAAAGATATATATAAAAGTATCTTTAAAAAAAGATCAATATAAATAATTTTTTTTAAATATGTTTTTGCATAACTTTGCATTGACGACCTTAAACACTTATGTGCACAAACTTTCGGCACCACAGCTTGTCCAGAAATAGTGTACAAATGAAAAAGTAGCCTGCACCTTACAAACAAACAAACAAAAGCGAGCTTAATAAAAGCTTTCAACAAAAACTACTTATATAGAAGAAAGCACAAAAACGAACACAAGTGAAGTCTATAAGCTTTTATTAGGAAAATCAAACCAATGAAATCCACTTGACTCTTGAATCAAGATTTAGATGGTATATACAATTCAAACCAAGGACTAAATGAACAGAATTATTTTAGAAATAAATTTGTAAGAAACCCCCGCTAATTAATCTCAGTGTTGATATGATAATCCTTTATATTAACATTGCCACATTGTCTTAATAAGAGAGTCGCCTTGGTACAGCAGCTAGATGCGTGCCTGCGGATCTGAAGATTGCTGGTTCAGGTTCTGATGGAGCCAGACATTTTGCCAAAATGATCTTGGTTCTCAGCTTTCTTCTTCTTCAGCATTCAGAGCCCTCGAGGTTCACTGCTGCAGACATCACCCGACTCCATTCATCTCTCTGGTTGGTCTTCTTCAGCATTTCGAGCCCTCAAGGTTCACTGCTGCAGACATCACCCGACTCCATTCATCTCTCTGGTTGGCCTTCTTCAGCATTCCGAGCCCTCGAGGTTCACTGCTGCAGACATAACCCGACTCCATTCATCTCTCTGGTTGGCCTTCCCTTTCCAGTTGGTGACACTAAAAATGACATATGTTCTCAGGTTTACCCATCCTAAAATACGTACAGGTAAAGTCGTGGGAAGTAAAGGTGGCTGGTATGATGTTGACCGCATCACTAACCGAGTGCTGGTTGGTCTATAAAATATAGGTCTAGCCCTATATACACCTGACGGTGTGGAACAAAACTACTTTACTTGTTTATGGTCTTAATAAACCAATTGCATTAACAATAACAATACTTCAGTATCAGTTTACAGAAATGCCTACGAAAAATAATACTTTGCAGGAAAGAAGAAAAAAGACAGCATGCAGTAATGATACCTGGAACAAAATTCATCAGCAAAACCTGTAAAATCAGACTAAAAGATTTTTTTAAAGATACAGTTTTCAGTGTAATAATATCAGTCTCATTAAAGTGTCCAAACAAAACAGACAGAAGGAATTACATACAGTAAAAAAAAAATAGCATAGTATGTCAAACTAGCAGGCAAAGAATAAGCAGTCTCCATCTATGGATAATGCATAAAATAATACACCAAACAGGATATAAAACATTAAAAATATTAAATGATAAACTACTGACTGAAGTAATGCAGATCACCTTACTGATGTACGATCCAAATGACTCCATCATCTATAAATTAAATAAATAGTTTAAAATTATTTGGCCTTTCCTTGAGCTGCAACTTTGGCCTGTGCTGCTTTCTACTGTCATAATGTACTCCAGTTTTCACCTTCTTGTAACATGACCAAAGAATTTAGACTGCCTCTTTTTTTACTGTCAGCAATAAGTTCTCTTCAGTTTTTTCCAAGACGTCTTCATTACTTTTGTTTCAATTTGCCCATTATTTCTCTACATAAACACATTTTTGCTGCTTCCAAATAACGTTTCCCTGATAATCCAACTGTCCCTGATTCAATGTAATCCAATACACTGTTGCAAAATGTTTTCAAAATGTATCATCCAATACAAAAATATTTTCACTTCACACTGCCACAAAAGTTTCTCTCAAAATCTAACTCTTACTGAATTTATCTACTGCCAACAAATATAACTACACCAAAGTTTGCTAGTTAAACAATGTAGAAACATTCTCCAACAAATCTAACATGAAGTGATTTTCATGCACAATTGTAAACCAAACTACACCATTACAGACAGACATTTTTTACACTGTTTTCATTACCATCTAAATATTTTTTATTTTTATTCTTTTTTAAAATTTGTGTGTGTGTGTGCATGTATGTGTGTGTGTGTGTCTCTATCTCACTGATAAAAATCTGAAACATGTTTGTGATGATGCCAATGTTACTCAGCATCATTTTGCTAAAACAATTCAGGTTTTTAAATATTTTACTTGTGTTATTTTTCGTTCTACAATTTCATCCTAGTTGTTCTTCTTCTTGTGTGCTTTTCTTCAGCTGGAGCCTAGATCTTCAGTCATCTCACACCTTCCTGTCCTATCTTTTCACCATTTCTTGCAATTCCTCACATGTGCTCCCAACCATAAGCTCTTCTATCAGAAGAGCTCTCACTCACAGTTATCTGCCTCAGTTATTTTTGTTTCACTTTTAGACCTGTTCATAGCTGAGACAGTACAGGGTAGCTAGATCCAAGACCAACCCTCCCTGGTACATTTTATGACATAGTTGGCAAGTTATACTTGGAGTATTATCTACTCTCCCTAATGACCACAGCAATAAACAGACGACTCTGGTTGTCGAGCCATGTTGTTTTTATGACATTCTCTCTGTATTCTGAGAAAATAATTCAGCTAGGAGTTAGCAGTGGGTCTAGACGATATTCAGTTCTTTTGCAATATCCTTACCTAGATGATGTCACAGGACAGTCTAATATTTTAGAGGGTGGTAAGATTGGGTTTTCGGACTTTCTGAAGCTTTTAGCGACACCAAAACATTTAGAACTTGCCCTACCCCAACCCACCTACGTCCCATGACAGAGTGATGCCTAGGTTCCACGACTGCATGCAGCCTAGGTCCAAGGATTGCATGCAGCCTATCTACCGCCCTGTGACCTGTGAGTTTCCCCTGTTTGGTGTAGGGTATTAAGAAAGAACCAAATGTTCTACCCACAGGGATAAAAAACAGGCAAAAGTGTAACTATTAATCAGGTTGCAATTGGCACTACCTGTAAGGGATCTACTCACTGGGTGTGTGAAGGCCATTTTGCATCCAGACTCAATAATGATCAATGACCATGAGTGCAAAGATGGATAATGAGCCAAATTTCAGCCTGGAAAGTTCTTGTGCAGTGTGGACAACAGATAGAAGCGGCAGTTGAGATGGGATTTGCCACACAGTTCTTTCTGGTCTGCCTGTTTCTCTTCGCTGGGTACTGAGAAGGGGACAGAGCACATATGGCAATGTCCTGATGTCATTTCTTGATTGACTGAATGATTCATTCACTATAAGAATTTCAAAAAAGCACAGAAAGTGGTTAACTCAAGAAAAACTAGGACCTCACCCGTAGGAAGATTCAATCCAACAATATCATTATCAGAAACATTGTCCAGGTACTTGATGAGGCCTCTCAGACTGTTTCCGTGGGCAGAGATCAGCACCCTCTGTCCGCTCTGATCAAACCCGACAAATATTGAGAACAAAGTTTGGCTAATTATGTAATAAAATTACATACATAAATTAAAAACTGATAGCCTTAGAGAAGTGGGAGGAAAGATTACTAATATATCATAGGAGCAAAGATTTCTATGTCAAAATGTTTGACTTGAGTCAAGAATTGACATCACAGCACTCTGGGCATTTCCATGTGTGCTCCATCCTCATCCTCAGCAGCTAGCGCAGAGTTTCAATACTTATGGTACCAGTCGTAATGTGGTTATATGTCCGTCTTGCCTTTTCCCTGAGTGTAGTGAGCCGACCACCTGAGTGTAGTAAGCCGACCAGACCTCCTGGTTACACCCAGGTGCCTCATTCTCTTTAGGCCATAATTTGTTGAGCTTCTGACTCTGTTGCTTGTTCCCAAAAGGCCCTGATCTCATCTGTCTTGTCACGTATCATTTCTCCACCCAGGTACCTCAAAATGTTTGATCATCAGAGCAATGTAAACTACTAATTTATGTAAATTATTCCAGGTGTGAACAGGATATTCCTAGTGTATGTTCTAAGGCCCCATATTTGTGGAAAAAGAACAAACCACCTGCCACTTTACAAGCACATCATAAAAAGTGACTTATTAAGGGTCTACTAATGTCAGATGTTTGGGACCCAAATATGCAGACATCACAGGCTAGCTGCAAATCACAATATGCTGACCATCCATTTCAGGCAAATGCATAAGAAGAAGCATTAACAACAGAAGACATTTCTGGTAAAAAACAATTCAATAAGATAAACATAAAAGAAAATGTATGTTGGATCAACAACAACAACAACAACAACAACAAAAAATCAGAACACCAAGAACTTGATTTTGCAAAACTGGAGGTATATCAAGTAACTCACCGCTTCATTTTAAATACTGCCAGTGCATGGCTTGGTACTCAATAGTTCATACACCTGTGCATACTTAGTGACTCGATGAATATGCTTGAAGGAGATTGGAGCACATATGAATCTGTCCAGAGTGCTATGATGATAATCCTTACTAATCACTAATCACTGCCCGTGTGGGTTTGGGAATTCCATTTTGGAAAATAAAGAATATATCCACTGTCTCCATAACAACTATACCGTAGGAGGTGGGTAATTCATTCAGAGTAGATCTACCGGACAGGCAAAAAAGCCTGTAAACAAATAAGCCCTAGATCTGTAAAACAGATGTGCGCGTGAAATTCAAGTTTTGGATCAAGACTAAAGTCCAGGATTGGATTTAAAAAAAAAAAAAAAAAATTGAACTATCTACCAAAGTTGAAAGTGGTATGGCGATATCAGGTTAACTACTAAATCTATGGTGATTTACTTTCAGGTTAACTACTAAATCTATGGTGATTTACTTTCAGGTTAACTACTAAATCTATGGTGATTTGCTTTCAGGTTAACTACTAAATCTATGGTGATTTACTTTCAGGTTAACTACTAAATCTATGGTGATTTACTTTCAGGTTAACTACTAAATCTATGGTGATTTACTTTCAGGTTAACTACTAAATCTATGGTGATTTACTTTCAGGTTAACTACTAAATCTATGGTGATTTACTTTGTAAAAAAAAAAATGGGGTAAAAATGATGAATGTCGAAGACTAAACAAGTTTATGTAACAACAATCTGATCTGTGGAGAAGTAATCAAACCAATTGCCTCACACTCTGAAGACCTTTCGGTTCATGGGTACAAGTTTTAAGGCGATCCCAAGGGATCGTTGCTGCAGCTATGGAGTTCAGGCTTTGTACAACACTCTTGGCAGATAGTTAGTCATGCTGTGGAGAGAGACTGAGCCAGACAGGATAAAACCTACCACAGTGAAGTTAATCCTCTCAACTTTAACCACTGGCACCGAGTTTAATAAATAGGTAATGTCAGGTAAATGTCATATAAATCAGAATACAAGCTTTAGCAATGTAAAGATTAACATCATGAAGAACCTATGAAAGAGCACCTGAAAGCAAGTTAAAGTAAACATTTTGAGATCATGCATTTTTCCAATGGAAACTTAGTTATATGAGATAAGTCATGGAATCTTACTTAATTATTGAAGAAAAGTGGAGCATTTAAGCTGAAATGATTCAGAGAATTCTTGGAATACCAGACCAAGAAGAAGAAACCACAGACATCTTAGACAATCTGAGCATCAAGGAGTATTGGCTCCGAAACAGTTTCCTGTCCTGAAAGTTGAGGTATTTTGGCCATGTTAAAACATCCTTATGGACTGAAGAGATCAGTTATGGAGAGCAGTTTCTGGTAAACGAGGCGGAGGCAAACCTCGGTGAAAGACATAAGACGTATTTACTATGAAAGCACACAGGGCTGGAGAAATGGCTAGAGAAAGAGAGACTCTCAGACATGCCATGATGACTGTAGCGGTCTGTGAAGGACCTGCCCTCACATTTGACAGTTTTCAAAACACGGTTATCAATTCCAATTCTTACCTTAATGGCAGGTACAATAGAATCATACCAGAATGGCAGTGTGCGCTCCACTGTGTCCTTAAGGCATTCACAAGCTGGAATCATTCCCTGATCCATATTCTAGACATGAGATTAACTTCTGTATTAACACATCTTTGTCTACCTCCTGTATTAGTATATCACTACACAACTTCTGTATCAGTATATCACTACATAACTTCTGTATCAGTATATCACTACATAACTTCTGTATCAGTATATCATCACATAACCTGTATTAGTATATCACTACATAACTTCTGTATCAGTATATCACCACATAACTTCTGAATCAGTATATCACTACAAAACTTCTGTATCAGTATATCACTACATAACTTCTGTATCAGTATATCACTACATAACTTCTGTATCAGTATATCACTACATAACTTCTGTATCAGTATATCACTACATAACTTCTGTATCAGTATATCACCACATAACTTCTGTATCAGTATATCACTGCATAACTTCTGTATCAGTATATCACTACATAACTTTTCCATCTATATATCACAACATAACTTCTGTATCAGCATATCACTACATAACTTCTGTATCAGTAGATCACTACATAACCTGTATCAGTATATAACTACATAACCTGTATCAGTATATCGCTACATAACCTGTATCAGTATATCGCTACATAACCTGTATCAGTATATCACTACATAACTTCTGTATCAGTATATCACTACATAACTTTTCCATCTTTATATCACTGCATAATCTGTACCAAAATATAATCAGACTGTGAATGATGCCAGTGGTATTAAAACTCTCTTAACCTGACTAAATTTACCCATCATCATTTTATCTTATAAAATATGTATCAGTACATCATTGCCTAACTTCTTTTTTAGTACCATCATCATGAAATGTTCCATTTTAGTATTATCATCATCAAATGCTTAATTTAAAAAAACTGGTCAAGGTGATCATGCTGGCATCCCACCCCCTCCAGCAGGAATCTCTAACAGCGTTTATCAGTTCATGTGCTGATGCCATGACAACAAACTGTCAAAAATCTATCTCTCTTTCCACAAATCTTTCCAGAGGTCATAACATGACCCAGTTTCCTTCTTCTCACAACAAGGCCAAACAATTATGACTAATTACACCACTGGACAAGGTTATGACTCAAGCTTTATTATGTGGGAAAGATAACAATGAGTGGTAGATGAACAGCAGTCTGTCAGAGTGATAGAGTGTGCTGGAGATGCACCAACCTTTTTTGTGGAGATGGCACCAGACTGATTGATTTACCCCAAATCTATCAAATATTAATACCATATGACAGTATCAATAATCTTTAATTAACTCTAGAACAAATTTTTCATATTTTAGATGAATTATGGGACATAATTTACATCAGTTTTACTTATGTAGAACCACTTGTACCATTTACTCCTAACAAGAAATATCAATCAACAAGAAAAGAGACTCTTCACACAGGGAAACTAAAAACACGGATCACCAACATAAGAGATTTTGAAACAAATAAGTTATGTGAATCAGTTATACTGAAGGAACAACTAGACACCAAGCAATCAGAGGGCCTGACTGGGAGATAAGACAGAAGAACAAATAAGATATGTTAACACTATTACCATTCCCATCTTCACTAGTGGCATTCCTGAACTAGGACACTATAAACTTACTGCATACTGTTTGCCTCTCCCAGACCAGCGCTCATCAGTTTTCTCGAGTGGTGGTGGAGGGATGTCATAAGACCGACGCCAGATCTGAAAACACATATGTAGTAAGAGTAACTGCCTTTGAAATTTTAGTAATACACATTATGATCATGTAGCAGGTGCTCTACAGAATGTCACTCTTATCACTGTCTGCCTGAAAGAAACTCGGTCTGTCGCCAGCGCTTCTGCCTCGTGTACTTTCATATTCAAGGAGTCATTTATATCCTGTGCCCATCCTTGTGTTGGTTGGCCCCTGCGCTTCCTTCTTTGTACCATGCCTTCTGCTATTATTTTTTTCCAATCTGCCTTGGCACAGGATATGACCAAAATTTTTCAGTTTCCAAGACAAGATGCTTTTTATTAGCCAATTTTCCTTGATGTTCAGATCTTTCATAATGTATTTCTTCTCTTCTTTGTTCGTGGTATTCTGAAAAGTGTTCTTAAGCATTTCAGCTCAAAAGCCCCTATTTTCCTTTTTAAGTACTGGGAGATAGTCCATGACTCATATCCGCAATGAACAGGCAGACAGATTGGCTGGATCTGCACCACTGTGTCGTTAATTGATACATGACAAGGCAGATGTAGTCAAAGTCCTTTGGAATCAAGCATCGGAATCAGTAGAGAAAGAAGATTATTATGGCCTGGAGAGAATGAGGCCCCTGGGTGTAACCAGAGGGTCCGGCCAGCTGACTACACTCAGAGGAAAGACAAGACGGACATTTAACCAGATTGTGACAGGTACCATGAGTATTGGAACTCTGCGCTGGCTGCTGAAGCTAAGGACGGAGCATGCATAAAAATGCCCCGAGTGCTGTGACTCAACTCAACTTATATCCGTATACTGCTACAGGGAAGATGCATCCTCTCAAAATTTTAATTTTGATTTCCTTGTTGGTGTTTAACCATAGACTTTTAATTCTGTTAAATAGCAATACAAATGTGTAAAATAAACAAAGTAAGATGATTCAATGAAGCAAATAACAAGATTTCTTATGAAATGCCCTAAAAGAAGCCAGTCACTGAAAAAACAAATGAACTAAAAATTTGGTTGTTTAAAAAGTGTTTCTGGAAAACTATAGTTGTTCTTTTAATTCTGTATTAGTCCTTAAAAATGGCGTTTGGTATGTTGCCTTGTGGTTTACAGCATATGATATTTGCACCCTTTGGCCCAATACATTTAATTTATTCAAACCCCTAATTAGTTGCTTGGGTGGGGAAGAGGGGGGAGGGGGGGGGGGGGGTTATGGGTCTTTATACTCCCCCAAAATGGGACCCTAGAACCCACACAGGGATCTTCAGTTCTATTTTGTGAGACTATTTCATTGATTTTCAGGTCACTAAGCTTTAAAAATGTTTTGCATCTAGTAGGGTGTAGAGACTTTTCTTCTGACCTTGAACTATCTTGAGGAGTCTGTGTTGTAGAGGCTGCCTTCTGTTCTCTTTAAGTAGAAGCTGGTGCAGTGTGCAAAACTCGCACTTAAGCTTCACATCTGCAGTGAAGTGCAGGGATCCTCAAAACATTAGCCAGACTGGGGACCCAGTCACAATACAGACCAAACTAATGGAGAAGTGTGGGGATCCTCAAAACATTAGCCAGACTGGGGACCCAGTCACAATACAGACCAAACTAATGGAGAAGTGTGCGGATCCTCAAAACAATAGCCAGACTGAGAAGTCGGGAACCCAGCCACTAGATAAACCATATTAATCAAGAGGTTCTCAAATTTCTTTGCCAGTATTCTGATCCTGCAACCACTGCAAGCTAACAACTTCAAGCTCTATCGTCATCATCATGTATTGTGGCTGTGCCAATAAGCACAGGCTGCCACGTTTCACCACCTAACATAATCATTAAAATTCAAGTGTTTATCTCTTTGTCTTCACCTCGTTGTTTTACCCAAAAAAATTTTGGTCATCAAGGTCTTGAGTCCACACCTTATCATAAAACAAAACACTGACTGTCTTATATAATTGTGTTTAATTGGTTGAGTTTTCATCTGTCTTGAAAAAGGCTGATTCAATCTCTACTGTCTGCAGTCTTTGAGGAGAAAAAATACAACTATGAGCAAGTTCAATAAATGGCTGAAAAACATTGTTGTTTTGTTTATTGTTGTCAGGCCAATGAGTCTTGTCTTGTCTTGTCCACAATTGCCTCACAGCGTAGTGGGGAGTCGCAGTTTTCTATTTCTGTTGTTGTTAGTCCGTGTTGCCTCAAGATCTCTGATATATTGTCTATCCATCGTACTCTCGGTCTGCCTCTTGCTCTAGGGCAGTAGTGCTGTTCGTTGTATGCTCGTAGAGGCAGTTGGTCGGTTTGCATTCGCATCAAGTGGCCAAACCACTCTATTTGTTGCTTCTTTATGTATTGCAGGCATGGTGTGGTTCCTACAATTGCTCTAATGTTCTCGTTTCGAACTCTGTCTCTCCTTGTGACATTGGCAGCCTTACGTAAGCATCTCATTTTGCACGTCATGATCTTTTTCTCCTGTGCTCTTGTTAGGGACCAGGTTTGGCATTGGTAGCAGAGGGTTGGTATAAACATGCAATTTATCAGTTGTCGTTTTAGTGCCATAGTGATGCTTGGGTGTTTTAGCAGTGGGGAGAGTTGGTAAGTTACTGCATTCGCCTTTTGACATCTTGCCTCAAGTTCCCTATCAATTCTTCCATCATCTGTGAAGATGCTCCCCAAGTATTTAAATTGCTGCACTTGTTTGAGTTGTTCGTTGTTAACTTGAATAGTTAGTATATTAGGTGTTCTACTTATTTTCAGAATTTCTGTTTTGGTGATGCTGATCTTCATGTTATATTCGTTGCAGACTGTGTGTAGCGCATTTACGTGGATTTGAAGTTCTTTTTCGTTTTCATGTATTATGCTTTGGTTGTCTGCGAAAAGTATTTTGTTCAGTTGGGGATGTACTTCTTCAGGATCGGCGTGTATGTTGAGTACAATGAGTACAATCATTAATTACTCCTAACATAATATAGTTTTCATCAGTTCTTTTTTTTTTCCTCTCAGGTAGTAGGGATTCAATAAATGAAAACTTTATCTAATTCCTACTGACCCTACAGTGTTACTAAAGTAACTCCTTCCCATTTCTAAATTTATTACTTTAAATATGGTGTAGAAGAAACTTCTGAGTGGGATCCAAAGAGTGATCTGAACAAACAAACAAATTAAAACTAGGTAAAGGTCGTCCCAAGCAGAATACTGCTATCGGGGTATGACACTTTAAGTCTTCACATATTCCAGGCCGACCACTTAGATGGAAAGGGGGGGGGGTCACCTTGACTTCTCTGCAACTGGGACAATCACCTGGGACCCAATTTTAATGAGGCTAGATTGACCACTAAGCCGTTTTGGTCAGAAAATATTATCTTGTCTCTGCTAGGAAATGAACATGGACCACTGTATTGGTTATACAAATGCACTACCTACAGTGGCTCTCTATGTACTGAAACCCACAGGGGCACAGAAGTAAAGGAAGACCAACAAATGCATGGAAAAGGCAGCTAGAGAGTAAAGTTTTTTTTAAAAGGGTGGAGGGAGCTGCATAGGATAGCAAAGGACAGGACATCTTGGCATAAGTTGATGATCTCTCCTCTACAGGGGGGGGGGGGGGGGGTGAAGGGCAGAAGAAGAAGAATATAATGGCTCCCCAATGAACACAAGAATTTAACAAAGGATGAAAACTGGCACCTGAACTTGATCCTCTCCATATTTAGCAGCCGTCTCAGACTTGTTCAGTCCTTGCAGACCACCATAATGTCTCTCGTTGAGTCGCCAGGACTTCACCACCGGAAGCCAATGAATATCAAGCTCCTCCTGTATAAGGTACAGGGTCTTGATAGCTCTCTTCAGAACACTGGTGAAAGCAATGTCAAACTCGTAGTTGCCCTTCTTCAGTAGCTGTGGGAGAAATACATGAAATTGGTTTTACAGAGGCTTGGTTTTATACTGGAAGATTACCTTTACAAATGTTTTTAAGGATTAGTTGGTCAGAATACAGACTTCCATTGTGGGCTCTATAGTCCCCTTGTGGGGGGAAGGAACAGACCCTCCCCCTCCCCGAAACAAGAGTGTCATAAAAGGCAACAGAAAGAAGTTGGCAACTATTAATATCCAGTATTTACAGAGGGTGGCGGCCACGTTTTGTTGTGGTTTATAGCTAGGCTGCAATGTCTACGCCTTTTTTTCCCGCTTGATTTTGGGGTTTACAGCTAGCCTGCGATTGCGGTGACATGATGCTCAATGTTCATGTCACGGGTAATATTTGTTCGCACTTGAGAGGGTGGTTGGCACATTGTGTTGTGGTTTACAGCTAGGCTGCGATATCTGACCCAAAGTCTTCAGTCTTCGGCAGTAGAGTTGTAAGTATACCGCCCTTCACAAGGATGATTGGTGTTCGATTCCCCGTTGGGTGCTAATTTTTCTTTTTCCCCTAAAGGGGCGGTTGATCTGATGTGTTGTGGTTTACAGCTAGGTTGCGATATCTGCGCATTACGCCCAAAGACATCTGATTTAAGTAAAGTCCATATTAGCCCTCCCCCCCCCCCCCCACGCTTCACTCGATCAAAAAAAATTCGTTGATGACAGAAATTGTTAACTAAGACGGCTTACGGTTCAGTTTGGTTTGGGTGGACATGGATGCCAAGGTTAATTAAAAATCGTCCCTTTGGAAAGGGAGAGAAGACTGGTGTGGGTTTTTTTTCCGGCTATTTGTGAGTATAGTGTACTTTTTTTTCAATCACGGAATATTACTGTGGGTTCCAACACTGGTTAAGTGATGGAGTTTTATGTCGGGGCAACATTTAAACTAAACAGTCTGTGGCGACAGCATGGGGTGTTAGGAGGGGTTGATTCCAGACACTTAACTGAGAGAGCTTACAACATTATTTTAAAGTTCTCCTTTCTTAACTATTTTTAACAATGTCACCACCTGATAATTGTTCAATCATTCTGAGAGGGAGATATGATGGGGGTGGGGGGGTGGGGGGGGGGGGGGTTATGACAGACACTGTTAGCTCAGAGAGCTTATAACTTTATTTTACAGTTCTCATTTCTTAAATATTTATATTTTAATACTGCTTCCTCAGCTATTCTCATTTTTTTTTTGAGTGCTAGTTCATTGGTCAGTTAGAGGTATAGCAGTCAGCTTTACTTTTACCTGTTTAAGCACAACAGATGCTTTAGCCTCGATAAACAAATAATCTTTTTTTTTTCTCTAACAGTGCACTTTATTCGACCACTCACATCGACATTCACTGATATGTTGCATATTCTAGAGTCGGCATATCAGACTATCTCTGTAGCTGTGCAATGACTGATATTAACCCTTTTAGCACGGGAAGTTTTTTAGAGGTCTAGCCAAAAACACGGAGCATTTTTTCAGTGAATTTGGTTATTACTTTATTTAATTTTTTTGACAGATTTCTGTTATTCTGACCCCCATAAAATAATATATCTATTTGAAGGATATAGATTGAAGTTCATGATTTTCACAATATCGTTAAAATTAATTGATGTATATGCAAATTATCTCATTTGCATATCTAAAAATAGAAAATTTGAATTTGAATTTTCAACTTCAATGCTTGAAACATAAAACTAAAAACAAAAAATTTTTTATTTGAAATCTTTTTATTGTTCTTTGGCCTTTTTGCAAATGTTGTAAGCAATTCAATAGTCAAAAACAGGTATATATATATATATATATATATATATATATATATATATATATATATATATGAAACAGCAATAATATCTTTAGGTGACATGTGTTTTTCACTATCAGTCAGCACAAGAAATGGATGTGCCTGAGTGTCAACACCTTCGGGTGGATATACCCTGAGCCATGGTTGGGCTGTGACTGAGCACAACAGTGTCCCCATCTGATTCCCACTATTACTACTAACACTAAATCCTGCATCAGTATCAACAGAATTAGTGTCATCACTTGATTCAATTGTTTTATCAACATCAAGTTTAGGGGCAGAAACATACGAGTCAGACATACTTTTAGCGGTTCAGGTCACTATCTAAAAAATTCAACAACAATTTTCACTTCGATACCAAACACACGAAAGTCGCCATGTGTAAAGCTGATACAGCAGTTAATATAAATGAATCACTTTCAGTGTTTCAAAATAGGAAATTTCTTAGCGGTTCGAGGTGAAGCACGATCGGGCCGATGATCGGCCGTTCCGTGTTTTTGGCCAGACATCCGCCGACCGATAATCGGCCCGTCCGTGCTAAGAGGGTTAACTATATTAGACAGGTGCGCTTTCTATTTTCTTTCTTTTCCAGTTTACCATTCTGGGCCACAGCAACACGTGGCCGGGTACAGCTAGTCAATAATAAAATACTCCCAAAAGATGAACATGATATATGTATACATGTTCAGTTATTCTGGTTAACATTGCATAATTTACTAACTATTAATGTTTGATCACAAGGGCATCTAAATAGTAGTGATTTAAAAACAATATCCTGTTCAAGCCATTCAAGTTATAGTTGAGATAGTTTTTTTTTTTCAGTAAGTGATATTTTTTAATGTTGTTTGGTTATTCAGTATTGAATAAGTGAATTGTACAAGATTGTAGAAGACAGACTGTCAAGTTCAAAATAGTTTAAGTGCACTTTCAAATAACTAGTAATTATATTATGTAGTCTACTTTTGTGGATATTTATAATGATCTGTAATTCTCTTATTCTGTCTTATACCACATATCCTAACCCCCTTTCTTGTGATCTACTTCTACTTGTGAATCATTTCCTGTAGTTCTCTAGCCTCATCTACTAACTGCATAGTGTTATAGTTTTATTGCAGTGAATTATATATGGAGGAGTCTCTTGGAGTTTATATTTCTTGCACTATGCAACTAAATGAACAACCTTTTATTTAACAAAACTTAATTATGTGTCTGTCAGTTTTCCGGGTGGGATTAAATTATATATATATATATAAGGGTCTTCGGAATCAATCAGTATTAAATATAACAGAAATAGACGTCGGACAGATTCTGTACTCAACATTTTATAAACAGAAGCACAACCTATACACTAGGTAATTTACTAATACTATAGTTGCTGATACCATCTGCATATAAAATAATAAAAATGACATTTACTGTAAATAAACTACAAAGACTTCTTAAATCCAACCTGGCCGGCGTAGTTTGCCTCCGTGATGCCGGTGTCAGACAAGTCCGCATCATGCCAGCCACAGAACAAATTCTTCTGATTGTAAATACTTTCCCCGTGTCGGACAAGGACGATCTTATATTTGGTTGCCATCGTGGAGCTGTATCGTAAAATGAACCCCAAGTTCGGGCTCCCAGTGTCGACCTTGTTGGTTATCGTTATCAGTTTCAACAACCTTAACCTTGGCTGTAAGGTCAGCAGTTGGCCAGGAGAAACCATTCTGGTTTATCTTCTCCCTTGTTCTGGTTTCTGGTTTTTCTCCCTTATTCTGGTTCCTGGTTTGATCATATCCCCTACATCGATTTTGTCCACGTCAAAGAAATTACTTTGTACCTCGATGTACATAAATACTTCGTTCACGATCCTTGTACTTATTACAAATAGTCCGTGTAGCAAACACATTTTTCCATAAGTGAGGAGTCTTTCCTCTTGAGGTTGCGGGTGGCGCAGAGGTCATAGCTACCCATGTCTGACGGTTCGTTGCCACCTGCTTTAGGTCTTGGATGTTTGTTAGGCCCATGGTTGAGCCTTTCCCGATGATAAGTTTACGTAGAGTTTCTCTTGGTCTTCCCATTTTTCTTGTCCTTTCCGGTGTTCACATGAGGACTTGATGGGGAATTCTTGTCTTACCCATTCTGAGTGCATTCCCGATGTAGTTTCACCAGTGCTTTCTTATACAATTAGATACATTATCTTGCTTGGCCTTTTGTCTCATTTGCGTATTGGATCTTAAATCTGCCCAGTGGAGACTTAGTATTCTGAGAAATTTGTTCTCAAAATTAACTTTTTTTTAAACTAAAAATTTTAAGCTGCCGTTGCTTTGCAACTCTCGCATAAGTTTTTTTTTAAAAGTATCCAGAAGCCATGAGTTGTTAGGTATTATGGATATCGCAACCCTTCGGTCTTGATTTCATGATAAATACCGTAACAGCGGGAAAAATGTGGCTTTTGTACCTACCCTCGGGCGTGAACCCGGACCACAAGGAGTTCGTCACCCGGTCACCGCGCAGTCCGGTTTAGCCAACTACGCTAGAGAGCCGGGCTGACATTTTGTTAAAGGCACTAGATGCCAGTGCGATTCTAAAATATATTTCTGTCTCCTGTAGTTGTCATCTTACTTCCTAGGCTTGTAAAGCTGTTGACTTTTTCAAGAATTTGATTGTTTCGTTTGATGTAGTCTGAACTACAACCTGTACTGGTAACATCAATTTGTGTTTGTTTTTGGGGTGTTAATTTGGAGACCAATTTGTCTTGAAACATTTTGGGAGATGGTTTGCTTTCTCTCAGATATTTGTGAGCGTTGAACTTAAAAGCACTATGTCGTCATCTAATTCAAGGTCTTCTAGAATTGTTCAACTTATTTGATACTTACATTTGTGATGTTTGTGCATTTGCGCATGACCCAATCGACTGACAATTTTGAAGAGCATCGGTGATTAGACATAACTTTGTTTCCCTTCTGTTTCCACTGGGAACCAGAGTTGCGGGATTCTGTTCTTACACTGCAACGTGTTTCATTGTAAAAAGAGTTTATGAAATTGATGAATTTGATAGGAAAGCCATAGATTTTAAGTACTTTCCAAATTGTTGGGTAGTGGATACTGTCAAAGGCTTTTTGAAAGTCGACAAATTTGCTATTGAATAATTTAATTAATTACGGTTTGGGCCAGGATGGCGGGATGTTGATCCCTCTAGCTTGGCTTAAGACTGTTGATCGACGACCCGACAGGTCGCCATCGTCAAGCATCCTTTTAGAATCAATTTCTGAAAATGACGGAAGAATGATTAATCCATCCCCACGGTGGTAAAGGGAAAAAAAAAGGGGGGGGGGGGGGGGTGGAAGGGGCTCCGTATTAGTGGCAAATTACGAATTGATGAGATTTTTTAATTAATTTATATTTTATCATTATCGGACAAGTCCATAAGCGCCTGGATCCCATTTCAGAATTTCCCACAGCGTGTGGCGACTGATAAAAAACAGCAGTTCTGTGTTGGTTTACTATTCTTCTTTGGCTACCTGTATAGTGTTTATGTGTGGCAACACCTATTTTGACCTGAAGTTCTTGTAATCTTTTGAGTGATGCCGATTCAACGTCGTCTCTTGAATCATCTTCTCATTGAGAGACTTGGGAATGTCGGCTTGGTCCGCTGGTTTTTCTGTACCACCAAACACATAAATGCAAAGCATTTAAATGAAATAAATAAATATGTAACCTTATTTTACCATCTTTAGAAGAGTCGAGTGCTTACTAGGATGGTACTTGGAAACACACACACACAAAAGGGGGAAGGGGTTTCTTGTTTGCAAGGAGAGTTCCCTTCCAAGAAAAATTTCAGGAATCTGAAATTCTGGTGTCTTTATATCTATCTTTACGTCGGCGTCTTTAGCCAGAACGTTGCGCACGCGATTCGTAATGCCGGGTCGATCCCAGCAGCGGGCCTTGCGTTGGTTTCGACAGTGGTATCGAAAAAGCCGACTGTCCAGAAAGCAATGGCAAACTACTGGAAATAAATTTGCCTTAAAAAACCTGAACAGCCAATGCTGGGGTTAGTTCTGCAACATTGTCTTCATCTTCTTCTTTCGTTCGCCTGAAATAGTTGTCTATATCAGCAATTTTGTCTCTTGTATAAATTTCACTGTTGTTGTTAATTCATTCAGTGGTCCATAGAGTTTACGTTCCACTGTTGTACTTTCTGGCCAAAAGGTTTGCCTTAATGTGTCAAATTCGGTGCAGTCCTGGAGTACATGCTCTGCTGTCTGGGGCACCTTTCCACAGGTGCACATGGCTGATACGCCTATCTTGAATGTTGTGTACATGTGGTTACGTAATCGGTTGTGCCCTGTTCTGAGGCGGAGGATAATGACTTGTTCTGATCTGTCCAAAATAAAATAGTCGTCTTGTGCTGGGGCTGGTGGTTTCCTGATTGATTTAATGATTCTTTTCTTTTGGTGGTATGTGACTGGTACATCCGGCTGCACTTTTGTCGCACCTTCTTTTGCCAGTTGATCAGCTTTCTCATTTCCAGGCACTCCACAATGTGATGGTATCCACTGCATTACAACTCTTTGCTGAAGGCTAAGTTGTGTCAGCACTGTTTGCAATTCTGGTAGTTTCCTAGACTGGAGTGCTTTAAGTACTGATTTTGCATCTGTCAGCATTACCACATACTGGGAGCCAAGATTGGTATTTAGCAGTTTCTCTGTTGCTATCTTGAGTTTCTGCATCATAGTTTTGGCAGTACTTTCCGGTTGGTACGCTGGACTTATCCATAGTACCATCTGGGAATTCTATGTACACTCCAGCACCACCATTTTTAACTGCACTTTCTGAGGACCCATCTGTACAGTTAAAAATCTACCTAAAGTATTTCAGGATCTTCCCCAGAGCCTGTGCTAAGCTTCTTCGGACTCATAGACTTAAGTTAGAAGAAAGAACGGAGTACTTATGGGTTACTACCCATGTGCCATGATGTTGGTCAAACCTCAAACCTTCTCACGGTATGACCAAAGAATCTACACCGTCCCTGTCTGATGTGGACATTCAAAGAATCTACATTGTCCCTGTCTGATGTGGACAACCAAAGAATCAACATTGTCCCTGTCTGATGTGGACAATCTTTGTGAGTCAGTTTCTTTTAATATATCTTTGTTTCTCTTTTCAGCTGTTCAGGGTATTCTCATAATTTCTTTACAGAATAATTCCACTGCCTCAAAATAATTGTTCACTAACTGTCCAAGAATCATTTTTATATATCAGGATAGAAAATATATATAGCTCTTGAGAATTCTATTCCTCATTTTAACTGACAAAGAATGTTGCATAGAATAGTGTTGCTCTTTTAGGATGTAAAAAAAAAAAATCCACACTGAGTCAAATTTGTGTATGTTATGAGTTAACAAGCCAGCTTGTAATACATTTTTATTTGCTGTAGTCAAGTATGATTACACAGATCTGCTCTCATACATCAGCGATAGATTTCATATATACCAGAATGGTTTATCTATAATACACATACACACGGTACATAGTGTTAGTAAATTACAAACAGTAAAATCAAAGGTACTGGAATGTTTAAATATAGTGGTTAGTTTACCAGCAATAACATGCCATTATATCAGTTATTTACAGAAATGATTATAACTGTCAAGAACAAAGAAAATGCAATCGCAAAAGATGTCTAAATAAATCAGGCAATTAAGAAGCAAACTGACAAGCTCCTGCTGTTTGATTTTTTTAACCCTTCTGCCTCAACAAGTGTAAATCTTCTGTTGTGACAAGTTCCAAGTGCCATTGTTTGGCCATGACCTGATCCTAAAATGCAGCTGAATTCCACTGGCTCTATGTGCATGATGTTTAACTGGCTCTATGTGCATGATGTTTAACTGGCTCTATGTGCATGATGTTTAACTGGCTCTATGTGCATGATGTTTAACTAGCTCTATGTGCATGATGTTTAACTGGCTCTATGTGCATGATGTTTAACTGGCTAGGATATTAATATAGTAAATAAAAATAGCATTTAAAGAGGTTTTCTTACTACCAGTGGCTTTTTGGAAACTAAGTTGATGTCAAATTTTCCTGTAAGCCTCAGTGATAGAGGAAACAGAAATATGAAGAATAAGATTAATGCTGATAAATTACAAGCCTGGTGTTGCATAGTTAAATAAGCATCAAAGTACAGAACCAGGTCCTTTAAGCACTAATGACCATCAATATATGGTACAATGTATAATACATATGCAAGTATAAATATTGTCATATCGTCAGTTTTAATGTGAGATTCTTAACCCCAATAACATATTGAACCCCATCCTTTTTAAAAAATCAGCAGTGAAGTTTATCCCCCAGTGGTAAAACGTGGGGGGGGGGGGGGGGGGGGGGGGGTGAGAGAGAGGAGAAACACGACAGAAACAACCCCCAAACAATCTTGTTTTTAAACTGCAAAATAAAAGCTAGTCTTCTAAATGAACTTTATACAACAGTAAGACAAATGTTGATAAGAGAAGCCAAAGAAGAAATGGATACAATCAATGGTAACTAAAAGAAATGCAGAGGATACAATGGAGTGGAAGAATAAACTGGAAACAGTATGTGACGTACAAAGGCTCAACAAAATGATGATGATGAAATTAACTTTATCTGTTCTGAGCTAAGCAAAAGAGCTGCGGATATTATTTTATAATAAATACATTCTGTATTTTGAATTACATGAGTAGCTGATGAGTTTTCAAGAGAACCATTATTTCATTCACACTTGTCATGTACCCAACTTTGAAAATAACAAATTTCAAATGCACACACACAAACAAAGATGCATAAACAGACATACTTGTTAAAACATCAACAATGATTAAAAAAAAAATAGCGTAATTTATATTTAAATGCCATTTCTAATTAGTTTGTGACTATGCAGAGATTAAGAAAAGGTGTTCATCAGAACAAAACATGAAGTCAGAAGAAAAAGGAAGTTTAATGTAATTAAAAAATTTAAACAGAGCCATCACATATACAAGTTAATAAGTTAAGCAGTCATAACACAAACCTTCATTTAAACAAACTTAGTTCATTAGAAAAGATTAATATGGCAAGCATTTCAAATTCCGCAAAAGTGAAATGAAATGACCCCACAATAACTGCAGTCACCTGAAAATTAAAATAACTATGGAGGTCAGTTTTAACGAAATTTTTGAGAAGCCAATAAATAAACAGCAATGAAAAATAATTTATAATACAGCAGACGGGATAAAAAAGAAAATTTTCATTTGTTTTCTTCTTTTTCAAAATAAAAAGTTCCCAGTGAGACAGAAAATTATAAATAAGTGTCTGTGATATACCTAGGCAAATCTGAATCTGCTTTTATCACGCTCAAAATATTCTTTACTTTTCAACCTCTTTGGATCTAGCTTCTCTGATAACTTGCCAGCTTTTGACAAAGGTTGCGAGGAACATTTAGTCTCATACTTATGGATTTCTAGTTACATTTACATAATGAAGTTATTTACACTAAACGATAAGCACCGTATAATTATATACATAAGCAATTTATTCATAATTTCTTAAGAACACAGAGCCTCAACTAACACATGCAACAATGGCCTATATCAGCCATATTCATTCATTCATTCAGTAGCATGTCCCTCGCGGAACCTCGCTGCCATAACAACCCTCCGGAAAACCTTCCTATCATGAGCAAGATGTCCTGCGTCTGATACACCCATCTGGAGATCATCTGCCACATCCTGCACCCATCTTCTCCTTGGCCTTCCTCTTCCTCTCTTCCCAGGCATATACCCCTCCATTATTGTTCTCTCTAGACTTCCATGACGTTTCAAGTGACCAAAATATTTCAATTTTCTTTGTTTTATTGTCTTTACTAGCCAACCCTCTTCAATATTCAGCTCTTGAAGTATGGATGCATTTGTTCTTTTCTTTACCCCAAGATATTCTTAGAACCTGTCTGTAACATTTATTTCAAATGCATTTATGCGCTGTTCCGCTTGTTTAGTAAAGTGTCCAGGTCTCACAGGCGTATGTTGCAATGGGAAAGATGCATGCTCTTAAAAATCTGACCTTTGTAATTCTATCTGTACAATTCCATAATTTATTCAGTTGTTTTAGTCTTTGAAGAGCAATTGATAGTCGCCGTTTAATTTCTTTCATCAGCCATATAGTTGTGTTAAATTGGGAACATTATATATGATCTTGCTTTAGTAAGTTTAGATGTAAGAAACCCTTAACATTAGATTCAACCTCAGAACTTCTGTGACAGCACAAAGAATTGCCACCATTCAACCACAGGGATGACCTTATGTACATTTATACACAAAAATGTTAAACAGACTACTTTTCAGTGCAAAGCAGTCACAAATATAAAGAATACATACAATCTACTAACATCCTTCAAGATAAGCAGCAGGTAAGTACATGGAAGACATGGGATACTACTCTCAGGAGCAGAACTTCGTCCATGAGTAGATAAAACTATCTGGTTAGATTATAGACAAAAAAGTGGCATCACTGTCATTACCAGAAGGTGTGTGTGTGTGTGTGTGAGAGGGGTGTTGGAGTCTTCAAGCCTCAGGATTCAGGACCACATGGCTAGTGCAGCCACGAATGGTGCACATCAGGATTTTATTTTTGTTCTCGTGAGAAACACCCACACCTTAGCAATGATTCAAACAAGGTCTCCAGTGTTCTTAACAAACTTGCCAGGAGACATAGTTAATAGAAAAATGTAAAGCTAAGTACTGATCAAGTTTTTCAAATACGTCCATATAACAATAATAATCACCTACTAATAATTTGCAATCCAGTTCTCACTTTCTTGCTGCAAAAAGTTTGTTTAAACTACTGTTTATCATTCCAATGAAGCCAATGATTATATAGGATCACAGGGAATATAAATAAAATGTCAGAGGCATTTTTATTCCAACTGGCACCATTACTGAGTTATATGCATAGCTATGTTCACAACATATAAACAGTACGTTCATATCAACACTCTCTATGCTTGTAATGTCAAACAAAGACAATACAAAAAGACAACAAAAACATATGTAAAATAAACATTTGTGAGATTGGATGCCCGAAGGAAGCTACCAGATTAATCATCCGAGTTCAGTGAAGAAGAATACTTTCTGACAGATTATAAGAACTTCTGATTGAGCAGCACTGAGAAATAGAAGATCAAATGGTTTGGACATTTTGTCTGAACAGTTTACGGAGTGTTGCGGGGATCCATGGAGGAGGGTCTACCCAAGGAAAAGACAAGATTAGTAACATTAAAGACATTGCCAGTTCACATGCAATCACAACAAGAGAGCCACCCACTCAGCAACCAATTATTTTTTCTCATGACGCCTGATGGCAAATAATGAGAATTCCACAGGGGAGCAGGCACAGCAGAGGTCCACCGTCATCCGTAGAGAGATCCTTCATCGACGATTGTTTTAGCTCATTATGTCCCTAGATAATCTGGGAAGGTGGGCCTGACCTGGATCATGACACTAGGCCTCGATTTTCGCCTGCTGCACTTTATCGGACTCAATAGGGACAAGATGATATGGTGACTTTGCAAAAGGTGCTGTGACATTTTGCTTTATATTATATTGTTGCTGCGGTAGCAAATTAGATCAGTCGACTACCTTAACGACAAGAGTGACAAGTTAACGCCTGGTTCATCAGACAGGTGTTAAGTCTTTGGCAATTGGCAGAGAGACACTGGCAGACACTTATTGACACATTAGTTTTTGGTGAAAATTTAAGTTAATGATAAATAAAGTAAATAATAGGAAGTATGAGATCACTGTAATCAACAAATTAAAAAACCTGTGCAACATTGTTATCACTTAATGATAAAATATTCCCATGTGCCCAAAGTCATAAATCAGCAATCTAATTTACACTTATTAGATATGTTCCTTTTGAAGGAGTAGTGCATCACCCTGAGAGGAGAGGAACCAAAAGTCTGCATACAACTAAGCCTGATCCGCAAAATAGATGTCCAAGAATCTTGTTTAGTGGTCAATGTGTGTTATCATGTTTAGTGGTCAATGTGTGTTATCATGTTTGGTGGTCAATGTGTGTTATCATGTTTAGTGGTCAATGTGTGTTATCATGTTTGCTTCTGTCTTTCCTTTAAAAATGACTTATTAAGAAATGTATTAGTCTGCAGTTTAATTATATTTACAGTAACTATTAATAGTACTGTATGAGTTTACAATACAAAGTGGGAGACAAAAACCCAACAACATAAGAACTGGCCATCTATAATTGATAAAAATGGCTATAAATGTGCATAATAATAACAACATTTACAGTAATTATGGAACAAAAGTAAAGACACATTTTTTTCATGCATCTAGTTGCTAGAGATAAAATATATACAGAAAAATGAAATAAAGGATGCTAAATCGATGCATAGAAAGTAAATTTACAAATAACAATGTGGGATAAGAATAAGGAAACATGCCCAGTGTGCCAGCAGCATTGAAAAACAAGAAAGTAGGTTTATATGACTAGTAATTCAGCAATGGCAAAATGTTATGTAGCTAGCTATACATAAAAGGAATTGGTAATTCAGCAGGAACTCTCACGCCATGAAGATAATTTCTGTGGCTTCAAATATTATGGTACAATACAGTATAAACAATTATTGCATAGATATTATGGTGCAACATAAACCATAATTCTAATAAATAAATGAGCTTTCCCCATTGTGACTGCGTTGATTCATTTTGCTGAGATCTCATTTTAGTCATCCTTAAGTCTTTCATTCGATGAATCACTATCATACTGTGGAGACAAAAATTTAAAAACTACAGAATGCTATGATCAACAAACAAACCTTAAAATAAACTTCTATACAAATATTCAACACAATAAACATGAATAAGAAATCAAATATGATGTGACTGCTTCAGAGACAACCTAAAACCATTTTCTAATGTAAAATCAGGACAGCTGTCTAAGGAAGAATAACTATTCCTATTAGGTTTATACAACGGATCAACATCATTTCACAAGGACAGTAACCCATAAGTGCTCTATTCCACTTCTAATTCTAGCCTGAGTCTGAAGAATCTCAGTGCAGTGCATGAACTCCTGGTGAGGATCCTGAAACACTTTGGGTAAACTTTTAAATCCACATTTTGCCCGGGATGTGCCGTTAGGCTGCTCTTTTCAATTTCCAACTCCCAAGGATTTTTCATGCACAATAATACACAACACGGACGTCTGATCTTAATACCCAGAGACCGGGGGGAAATTACTGGAAGTACACATGAAAAAAATCCCAGCCTTCACAGGGGCTGAACCCGAGACCTCCAGCACTCAAGGCGGACACCATGCCCCGAGACCACTCAGGTCCCATAACTATTACAAAGGAGTTGCATCCATCCCATCCACTAAGTGGTGTGGTGTCACAGATTATAAGAAATTAAACAGTACAAAATAATCAATAATGCACAGGTCTTGGAGTGAATGAACAGATTTCAGTGGATCAAAAGGGGATTAGATTACAGAGTGATAAACACAACATAAAATGTGAGGAAAAATGTCTAATGGAGGGACGGAAAAGATGAGCACAAAAAGAATCTAACATTTCAACAGTCTTTTTTATGAAACAATAAATACAAGATGAAATGTGATTTGAAAACTCAACAGAGCTTGTAAACAACCAAGGTCAACATGAAATCAAGAAATAAATAATGTGGAATAAAATATAAGACATGATGGCCTAAATTATAAAAAGACATTAGTGAGAAAGTATTCTCCCCCTCCTCTCCCCTTTTTAAGAAACATTTTATGTTGTTGTATTCAGCACTTCTTGTCATTAGCTTGACAGCAGTCGCTCTCTATTTAGATAAACGAGACACAGATATGAAATAAAGAAAACCAGGTAACAACACAACTAGACTGTCCTTGAACTGCAATATAAATTATATTAAAAAACAAAAAAAAACAAACAAAAAACATCATCAAAGGTAATCAGAGAATGAGAGGACAACCATGTAATGCTGGGGTGAGCTACATGAAACAGCAAAGGACAGGATGACTTGGTGTCAGTTGGTTGAGGGCCCATGTTTGATTTGGGGGATTAAGGGAATGGGGGAAAAAAAGATCAGGCAGATCGCTGCTGAAATTAAACTCAACAAAGAAAACAAAGGAACTGGAAATGTGGATCCTTGTATGACCTTACGGTTGATAATAAATCCTCTAGTGCTCAGGTAATCTAATCCCTAAACATAGGCTCACATCTAGTGGAGTAAGGAAAGCACTCTTTTCTCCTGACATGGTTCATATGGAAACTATGATGTAGAGATCTCCACTCCTTTGTCAAGCTCCACATCAGCACGGTATAAAATAAATAAGTACTCCTCTGCTTACTTGAGGACCTATCTGTGTTGTGCATGTTTGCATCATGGCTGGGATATCTGTGTCTTTGGAGACACACAGCCAATTTTTTCAGGCAATAGCTGTCCGAGTTAGCCTCCCCAGTAAAGACCAGTCCCAGAATTTTACCTGGAGATATGTAGGATAAACTAAAGACACGATTCAGCACAGCACAAACAAACTGGCTGAGACAATACACAAAATGGTTATAGGTAATTCACCAGGAATATAAACAGACTCAAAACCCAATATCCAGAGGGATCTTTGATGTTACACACACTCAAAAAAAAAAAAGAAAGATAGATTGGTACTTACAACTGCAAGTTGTCTGCCAATATTCCCCATCGTGATTCCGCCTGCGAAGAAAATACATGGCAGCCATGACCGAACAAAGAGGAAATCTGGTTCTGTATATCTGAAATAGATGAATTCAAGAAAGTGAAAGAAGCAAAAGAAATGTTTCAACAACTACTTGTATCATTAATTATAAGATGAAAATGGCAATAAATTGGGCACACTATGAGAAGAAATAGAGAATCACCAGGCAGTCACTGAAATGGAAAACGAGTGGATTGAGAAAATGCTTCACTCCATTTGACACTAACATTTACAGCTGGTATCTTCACTTCCTCTGGGCTGATTTTGTTGTTTGTGCCATAGCTCTAATGTTCCAAAATTCTATTCTAGTTTTTATTTTTGAGTTAAGTCTTTGGCCACTTTATTAACACCAAACATTGTTCTGTAGCTGTAAAATCCTGGGGCAGTAATCACAGATTACTGATCTCCAGTCTTTTCTGTCATTTAATAAGTTTGATATTCATCATTATCAAGCACCATGCTGATAAACGCAGGCATGATGTACTGTCTAATAAGATCACCAGAAGCACATCAGGTATGTTCTCTTGTCCAGTGGTCAAATGATCCAGATATTAATCTTGGTTACAATTCTGCAAGTTTTATTTCTTCTTACAAGATGTCTAAACAGTAAGAGGTGTCCTTGTGCAATATTTTTATAATTTGTATCCTTGGAAGATTACCATATTTCTTTCTCTCTGTGTGTGTGTGTCTCTCTCTCTCTCTCTCATGGCCAAAGTTTTCTTCGCATATCCCAATAAATTCCATTCAAGCTGCAGCTACATATTTTCACATTGTCTGCTAATTGTCTAAATGTATACACAACAGTACAAGTTGTGTACAACCTTTAAAGAGTGTGTTACTTATTGTCTGTATTTCCCAAACGCTGTCTTCGACTGCCTTTCTTTCTAAATTTTCTTCAAATAAAGCTAGCTCCTTTATTTCATCTTTTGTGTTGACAAAGTCCATCGGATTCCTTTGTATTTCCCTGTCATTTTGATGAGTAACCATGTGAAATCTGCAGTTCTTGATATTTTGGCCTCTTTTCTGCACATTTCAACTGCTTCCAATTTCTTATATAATACCCAGCATATTTCTTAGAAACTACTGCTGAGAGTAAGTAAAAGCAAAGGACCCCTTTCACACCAGAGGCGCACAATACTGGACATATTTGTTTAGGCCAGCTTGCACTTGATGGGCAAAATGGTCAACCACATGCCAGCTTCCATTTCTTTCTTTCCAGAACAATTATGAAAATTAGTTCTAATTTTTATTGTATCTCAGCTGGTCCAAAATCTGTACTGATCAGAAAATATAATCTGGCTTCTTAACCCGAATCACTGTCCTGACAGTAAAACACACAAACCAGTATGCAAACACAGCTTCGGCAGTGTCAAAACCTTTATTAAAATTGGACTTACCTGTACACTTCGTTGTAGACTAGAACTTGAGAAATAAATGTGGCAATAAAGGCAACACTGAGACCAAGTCCGAAGCCTGACTTGGATCTATCAAATAGCCACCATAACCCAATAGACATTGCTGCCAGGCTTGTTGATAGTTGGATGTGATTGGCAAAATCAATTTTCTTTTGTTGTAAATTAAAGAAACTTTGGTTATACACAGAAAGATAAAAGAGCATGGAGTTTCTTAAATATATTTAACATTTACAGAAATAAACTTAAAGTCCAGTGGACTGGCTTCTTTGCACCAGGTTTTATCTCACATGTAGAAGGTCTAACTGCCTGCCAAGAACATCACACACCTGCTGTAGCTTCGCCAATGATCTTCAGGGTTTCTTGAAAATTGCACATGTGAACTGAATGACATACCCTCGGACTGAAACCATGACCTTTAAACGGCTTGACTAATTTGCCACTCATCCCTCCCTCAGTATTTTAAAGAATACACTACTTCAACAACTTGCCACTACTACTGAATTACAGGGCATGTTTTTTCTACAAAAATTGCCTTACTGACAGCTGTCCACAAGAAAATAAAAAAACACCATGACAATGAGTTTGGTTAGTTATTCAGCCAAACTATATAAAAGCAAAATCAGCTTAATTAGAAAAAAAAAGTGTTGCTACATCAGAAAATGACACCTAGAGAAGATTATCAAACTATATCAAGCTATAAAATCCATCACACTGATAAAAATTAACTTCTGGTTTAACATGGTGGCAGTCTGTTAAGACCCTGGCGTGTCTGTTGTTTGCTGACACATATTTCTTTTTCTGTACCTGGAGTCATGGTTTAAACTGTTGTGAACAGCATAAAAAGTGGTGGATGGTTGGTTTATGTCCAAACTGGCAAATGCCTTATGATTATGGAGTGTGCAATCGCTAGTTTGTCGTCACTGACCATTTCCCTCAAAAGTAAACTGCAAATTTAGTGGACTGTAAGTACTAGAATCTCTGGTGGCTACCTTATGCATTTACTGTGTGTGCCAGACTAATTTGTTTCAGTAGTTTTCAAATGGGACAATAAAGGGAATTTTGCGTGATTTTCACAGGCATAGAAACAAAGAACGATTATGGGGTGACTTGACTGCAAAAGGGTTATCATAAGTCCTGTTTCCGCCATGACAGTATCATTCTGGGTAGGCCCAGTCTGTCCCACTAATACTTCAAACAAATAAGCACCCAAAAAAAAAAAAAAAAACAGTCAGCTGGAACAACTGATGTTTGAGTATCAACAGGACAGTTTGGGCCTACCTAATAACAATACTGTTCCAGCGAGAAGAGGACTTATGATTGCTCTAGGTTACATGAAATAATGACTAACTACTGAATGATGCAAACAATAAATCTGTACAACTACAATAAATCTATACAACTAATGTTATGATTTAACACCGAAAGCTTCCAACAAGGATACAGCACTAGCATGATTGATTCCAACAAAGACGACTATGCATCTCATTACATTGCTCCACTCCGCCTTATCTGGAAGACGTCCAACTCTCTTGTCTAGACATGGATACAATAACCCAATAGCAGCTGCAGGAAAAAAACGAGAACAAAATGAAGAAGACATAAACAACTATTTGCTAGCTACAGCTATCAATTTATTCATTCTGTTGGCCAACTCTTGACTACCTTTTGTGAATTCAATCTGTATCAACCTATGTCTGTAATATAATTTCCTGTGGCAGGTCATATGCTGATGATGATTCTGCAAATCCCCACAAGCTGATAAGTTCTCTCATGACTGAACTTGTTTCATTTTCAGTTTAAAAAACAAAAATGGAGAATGTGTATAATGCAAAATAAAACATCACAGTTATGTGTTGCTTGGTACATTATGTCTAAAGAAATTACAAATTCTAGAGTTTTTAGGCAGACACCTGTCATATTATTTGATGGCTTGATTTAAAGGCCATACTATATCATAGAAATGATACAGTATAGTCCCATATTTGAATTAGCCAATCAACACTTCACAGGTCCAGTTGAGTTCTGACATTACAGCACTCAGTACATTCCCATAAACGACCCATCCCACTTTTCAACAGCCAGAGAAGAGTTCCACTTCCAACAGTACCAGTAGCAGTTTGATAATATGTCCATCTGTACTTTTCTCTGAATGTGGTGTCGACCGGATTTCCTCTTCACTCTTATGGTCTCTCCAGACCATAATGACCTATCTGTGCTTCCGCATTGTTCACTAGCTTGCAAAAAGGCTTTGACCACATCTAGTTTACCCAGAGAAAATACCCAAAAGGACACTTACTATTTGGGACCTCTAAAGCTATGCTTGCCACTCTGCATGCAGTTTGCATATCTTCACGCTTCTCAGCACGCTTCGTTAGTTGGTTACAATCACATCATGCGTATGCAGCTTGTTCTCAAGCCAGCTGAAAGCTCCTGTTACTGCCTCCGCCTCCATACTAGAACTAGACTGTGTGGTAATACATGCTATGCTTTGTTGCACTGACCGTCGACCATTCACAAACAATCCCCGTGCATTTCTGGCCCATGGATCACTGTCAACTGTTTCGTATTAATGATCTTTCTATGCTAAAACTTGGGCTTCTAGTCTATTATGATCTCTTTCACTGTCAACACTCTGGCCCTGAGTGAAATAAGGTGAATAGCCCTGTTCTATGGCATCTTAGACCATTCCTCTTTATCTCTGCTAATACTACCACCGACCTTTCCTATCATCACAGTGTTTTACTATGTTCAAATACCGTTATTTCATTAACATTTTTCTAGGCCATTCTTGAAAGGCTGCTTGAGCACTTAAGGTATCCTAGACATTTATCTCAGAAAACATATCTCCAGTCTCAAACTCTTTTTGAGTGGTTTGTTTATATTCCAAGGTCCACTGACCCACAGTAAAAGTAGATGTATACATACTTGTTCTTCTTCAGCAATCTCTGGTCATGAGCCTAATCCTACTGGACCATAAACTGAGATGTTACTTCAACGCCTCTTAGGTTTCTCCAAAGCTTAGTTGTCAGACATACTGGGTGTGGCCACATGTTGATTTACAGCTCCACCAGAAGAGGATAATCTTATAAGACCTGCTCTGGGTCTATCCAGAGTGAAGACACTGACAGAAACCTATTCTATAAAAGTGTTTTTGTTAAGTCTTCTGTGTCCAGTGCATACATTGTGACCTTGTCTGTTCTGTTCAGGTGGCTGGGGAAACCTTTTTTTTTTTTAAATGATTATAACCTGTTAGTTTTCCAATCTGTTTTTGATTTTCTCTTATTGAGGGTTTTGATTTATGGATGTGATAGTGGCTGGTAGGTTTGTGGCTTTCTGCTGCCTTCTTCGGCTAAAGTGTCAGCGCTTTTTTTGCCTTTGATGCCACAGTAAGTATGCATACAATATAGATTAGTATAGTAGAATGAAGTAAAGGACTCTTTTTAAGCCAGAGGTGAACTGTGCACATGATACCAGAGTCATAATTTTATAGACCAGTCAGCACTAACAGGTGGGGTGTTGACTATGGCGGCAACCTTTACTTTCCAGGACATTACCCTGTACCCATTACAGGCTGGGTCAACCTGGAAGTCAAAGTCAATTTGCCATGATGCAGATACAAACCCAAGATCCCTGGGTTGGCAGGCCAGCATTAAGCTAGCACATTACCATGGCTACCATTAACAGACACAAACTAGTATAGCAATAGCAACAAACCTGCAGCAGTGCCACAACTTGGAGGTATCCACCAGGCGGAGGAGAACAAACTGGCCAGAACTTCTGGGGGAAAGACGGTTACCTGTCTCTGAACCTGAAGCAGGTTGAGCACTAAGGCAAAGAAAACTCCGGTTAAAAATAGGACAGAACCTCTGGTGATAAGACTCTTCAAGCTGCCCATCGTGAGGTATTTCCTGCAACAACACAAAAAAACAGAATATTTCAGTTGTGTTACTACTATTAAGAAACATGGGTGCTTTATTAATATCCTACCCCAGATGACATCACAGGACAGTCCAACATTTTACAGGGTGTTAAGATTGGGCTTACTGGCTTTTCGATGCTTATAACGACCCCAAAACATCTAGAACTCGCACTAACCCCAACCCACCTATGTCCCATGAGAGAGTGCAGCCGTGGTCCCACGACTGAATGCAGCCTATCTACCAACCCCTGAAATATTAGACTGTCCCGTGACCTGTAGATTTCCTGTTTGGGGTAGGATAATAATAAAGCACTGAAAAATGTTATCTGGCTTCCTTTTACAGGATGTTACAGAGCCAACACCAACATGTTCTAGCTGCTTGGCTTTTGATTTCACTGAGCACATTTTATGATCAGTATTTTTCATTGCTTACTGAATGGTCAACACTCACCACAACTGTTTCAACCAACATGGATCGGTCTGCTGCTGAATTCCCTGCAGCTGACAATAAACCCAGCATCATGAAATTATGAGGCGTGTTCGCAACGCCTAAGCCAGAAATTGATTTTACTACTTTACAAAGAATGCTCAGTTCAACGTAATCTCCCCTTGTTACACACTAGCTCACTTCTGACTTGGTCGACCTCTAGTCACCCGACTTCGCACACTGCTAGGGGAGTGTTCGCCCTTGATATTGCGTGTTGTATATTTAAGCACACCAGCGCTTTTAACACTCCAAAAACATTTAGAAACTGGGTCTAACACACAACCCCTCTAGAGAGTGCTGCAGCCTATGACACAAGCATTCTCTCCAATATATGTATGTTATAATGTATCAATGTATATCATCTATAATTCAGCGTTGGTTGACTGTTACCTGCTAAATATAGCAATTTTATAATAAAAACTAATAAGAGTAGTAGTAACTAGTAACATTCTAGTCGGAGAAATAAAATGGTTTACTGTTGCTTGTTGGTATTAAAGTAAAAAGACTTCATATGTCAGGTTGTGATATTTTTATAGTATTAGTAATTAATTAATGCATTATTTCATTTTAGCAAGGTACTTTAGCTTAGCTGATTTTTTTTTCAAAATCGTTCTATGTTAAACAAACCAGCTCAGCTAGATACATACTGAGAAGCTTTTTCTAATGTTACTTTCTCATTAATATCTAATTTGTATGTCAAGTCTAAGTCGAGCTATCCAAACTTGTCTGGAAAAACTGAATAAAGAAAAAAAAAGTTTAATGAAGAAGCCCATGCAAGTGTGTTTTAAATTTTAACTTTATAAGCTCTGTGATGTGACAGAAGAAGAGAACAAATGTTTGCCCTAGTGCTTTTTAAATAAGTTGTTTATAAAGTAAAAAATTACAATAATACAAAGTGAAATACAACAAACGAAAAGCACAGTAGTCATCCACGACAAAACTATTGTTTGTTAACACTTAAAGTTTACTCTAGTGTCAACACCGGTGTGTACTTTTACTAGCGATCATTATATATTATATAATAATGATAATAATATTATCAATAGAAGAAACTAGATAAAACTTATGTATAAACTTTATAATAAACTTAATTATATATTATTTATTAACTACAACGTGGTTATTAATTTAAAGTCGTTTATTTTTATTACCTCTAAACTTTACTGTGAGCCAAACTTTAAAGCGAGGGACCTCAACCTTTGTTATCCCTTTGAAGCTAGAAACACTTCATAACATACTTAGAATCGCGCAACGGTTACAAGGATCTAATCTAGACTGTAAGCGCCTGTAACTATAGACTGCTGTGTTTGAGAGAACCTACCTGGGACAGGTGACTGCTCGTGTCGCCAGCATCGTACCATAACAACAGTCCAGGCTCAGCCCATGACGACCAGCCAATCAAATGGCCCAGTTTATTCATTACACCAACCCGCGCTATTTTAATGTATGCATGACCTAGAGGTCGGAACGTCCCAATATGCACATCCGGTTCACTAATCACGTGGTTTTTTAAAACCTCTTGTCTGTGAAAGGGAATGCTCCAAGAAAAATAAGAAGTGTGTTTTTTTTTTTTTAAGCGAATGGCTGCAGCTGAGCCTGTCGAGGTTTTTACTATCACGCACCCCAAAGTGTCTGTTACATAAGCGCTGAAGAAACAGTGATAACAGCCGTAACTAGCTGCCGAAGAAGGAAAAGGAGGGGGGGGGGGGGGAACAAGCCCTATAAATAGGGCATTTTTCTATGACAAAAAAGGTGCCGGTACTCACGACAAAGTGTCTTGTCATAGCAGCATAATTGCTCTCTTCTATAAAGACTTTTTCTGCAGTATAAAATATTACAATACATCCTTCCCAGTAAAGACAGGTGTAAGACAGGGATGTGTTATGTCATCTCACATCTTCAACCTTGTGATTGATTGGATACTAAACAACACAGTAAACAGGACATTAAGAGGCATTCGATGGACTCCATTCACCATGCTTGAGGACCTCGATTTTGCAGATGATATAGCACCCCTATCACATAAACATGAACATATAAAAGAGAAAAGTAACAGACTACATTGCACAGCAGAAATGGTGGGACTGAGAATAAATACAAAGTAAACTAAGATCATGACAAACAGTCCAAACCAACAACCAGTGACCATAAGTAACCAATAACTTGAAAATGTAGAACATGTCACATATCTTGGCAGTGTGATGTCCCTACTTTGAGGGACAGAGGAAGACATACAGTCACGCCTGAACAAAGCTAGAGCTGCTTTTGGAAGGATGAGGCAAATCTGGAAATCCAAAAATTACAGCAGAGGAACAAAACTCCGACTCTACAAGAGCATCATTTTGCCAGTTCTTCTTTATGGAGCGGAATGCTGGAGAATGACCAAAAAGGATGCACACAAGCTGTCCACCTTCCACCACACATGTCTACGTAGAATTATCAAAATTTTCTGACCAGATACAATCTCAAACACTAAACTACTTCAAGCCACAAACCAAGAAACTTAAGACAATATGATTACCAAATGGCTTGGCCACGTTATGAGAATGACTTCTGATTTACCGGCTAAAACAGAGGGAAAGAGAAAACAGGGGCGCCCAAAAACAACATTTAGGCGAACGATGGAAAGTGACCTGAGTGCGGCATCTCTGACATGGAAAACTGCACTGAAGATTGCCCAGGACAGGAAATCATGGAAAGTCCTCTCTGAAGCCTCATGTGCCACTAGGCATAACGAGAACTGATGATAGCAGCATTCAACACTTATGGCTTCAAGGGTAGTGGTACTGCGTACAGTAGCGTGCCGTCATGAAAAAAAAACTGTCTACATAAGTATTAACAGTTGCAAAAGGCAACGTCTAAATTTGGACTACATCATGCTGTGTCAAATAAGGACCAGTGCGGAAACCACGACCGGCTGCAGGTGATAGAGTCCGCCGTGACGGGAACTAATGAGATGAAAATCATATAAGTATAACCGATGCTAAAGATGCCAGAGCCTGCAGGTTTTGGTAGCCTGCTCTAAGTTTATTGTTATAATTATTTACAACCCAACACATTACTATTATTATACTAATTGTCAAATAAATATAATATTATACAATAAATAATATGAGAACGAGTTGCAGTCTTGTCTCCCTCTGTTGTCCTACTGGTGCAGTCTTGTCTCCCTCTGTTGTCCTATTGGTGCAGTCTTATCTCCCTCTGTTGTCCTACTGGTGCAGTCTTGTCTCCCCCTCTGTTGTCCTACTGGTGCAGTCTTGTCTCCCTCTGTTGTCCTACTGGTGCTGTCTTGTCTTCCTCTGTTTTCTTACTGTTGCACTCTTGTCTCCCTCTGATGTCCTACTGGTTTAGTCTTGTCTCCATCTGTTGTCCTACTGGTGCAGTCTTGTCTCCCCCTCTGTTGTCCTACAAGGTGAATATACATTCAGACTGCAGTTGACGCCTCTAGGCCACTATCTCTGATACAGGGCTGCCAAGAGAATTTTTTTTAATAACCCAGCAAAGCTGAACAAAAACCCAAGCAATACACAGGCAAAGAGCCACACACACACACACACAAAAAAACCCCCAGTTTGTTAAAAAGTACAAATTTTATAGTTTCGAAACGAAACATTTACCCACTTTTAAAAAAGGTTTAAAAAACACACACACACACCCAGATTTCAACATTTAAACCCAAGGCCTCAAATTAAAAGCCCAGATCTGGGGGTAAAAATCCACCATTGGCAGCCCTGCTCCCATAAGATTGGTAAAAGTCTGTCCCCCATCCCAATCTTTGCTTTCTATCAGCGCCACAGAAGGCATAAACTCTGCCGCGGCCGCTGCAGATCAGAAAACACTTTTAGGAATGCCCCGAATGCTTTGATGTGGGCTTAGAGCTCGTCTCAACCGCTGATTGTTATATAGTATGCTATGTGGAGATTCTGCTGGTGCAATCTCTTGGAAAGGATTGGAAACTCATGTGGTTATCCTCCTGTAAATGAAAATGTTCATTTACAAGCAAATTTTATGTTAAATGCAATATTATCTCAATCGACGTTCTGCACTTTGGGCATTCCCATGCCTGCTCTATCATCCGATGCAGCAGACACGCCATTACTTCTGCTGGTAATCTGGTAATCTGGTAATCCTAGTTTCAGCTTCATAGCAAACGGGTCACCCCATGGTTGCTCCCCTCCTGTGCCAACAAAAAAACACACGTAGCTCACAGTGTCACGCCATGCACTCAACTCAAAAGCTGGGCGACGAAACTATATCCTTCCAGTCTACAAATGGAGCAAAAATGCAACGGCCACCGTCTAGCAAAAAAAAAATTAAATTGCCACGGCTAAAGAAAAAACAAAAACAAAAACAATAGGTTACTTCTGCTAATTGTTTCTATGAGAGATAGGTTATAATGTCTCCTATCTCGGCCTCGAGGGTAACATAGACATGCTTCACAAGAAAATGCAAGTCAGTCATCTTATAGCCAAGGACAGACAGACAG